ATGTACTCAGTAGATATTTGTTTTAAAATTAATTTTCAGATTTTGAACCAAAATGAGAGTTCTGTGTTTCTGCTCTTTGTTGCTTCATGTCCTATGAGAATATAATCAATAATTTTACACTTTGCGTTTCAGAGAGTGAATCTTTCATTCATCTTTCCTTTTTATGGTCACCCACTGAAAGAAATCACAGTTGCTACTGGAGGTGAGTCAAGTCATTATTGACATTTTTGTCCCTTAAATGTTGCGCCTCAAATGGTGTTTTATTATTAAAGTTGCTTAACATGTTGCAGTAGAGCAACATTTGCAGAAGTATTGAAGTATTTATATCTCATTAGGGGTTCCAAGTCCGTGGAGTTGAAGGGCTACCATCACCCTAATTTTTTACTTCTTTAACAGATTCTCTGTCAGGTTTAGGTTAAGACTCTGGCTTGGCTTTTCCAAAATGTTAACATCAACAGAACAAACATGTTGGCACATTTAAAAGACTACGTTGAACCCAAGTGCATTTTTGGCTTGATCGTAGATTATAATGAATTTCTCCCAGTGGCTCAGGTCCAACTTCTTCTTCCAGGTTTCATTTACACTGGAGCTGTAACCCATCAGATGCTCACAGCCACTCAGTACATTGCTCCCTTGATGGCCAATTTTGACCCCAGCTTGTCCAAAAACTCCACTGTGTTATATTATGACAATGGTAGGTGACATTTAGACATTCACCATAATGTTATTAGTGGATTATTGAACTTAATGTTCTCATTGGCCTCACCCTGTGTTTATGTCCACTCTTCAGGAACTGCGCTGGTCGTTCAGTGGAACCGAGTCCAGCTCCGGGACACCAGTCTGGGAACTTTCACCTTCCAGGCCACTTTGCACAGTGATGGACGGATTGTTTTTGCCTACAAAGAGGTGACGTGTTCTTCTATTTTGTTTTTATCTTCTTTGTACTATGAAGAACGTATATTTATAAAAGTCTTGTGCATTTAGATTCCCGTCGCCGTCAATGACATCAGTTCTGAGAACCATCCTGTCAAAGTGGGCTTGTCGGATGCGTTCGTGGTGCTTCATAACATCGAACAGATTCATAGTAAGACTGATTTGTTTCTTTAAAGGGAACTCAAACCAATGCAACTTACAAATATCTGTTTGTTCATATTAACATAAAAAGTATTGAATAATTTAGCTGGAAAAATTCATAATTTTGTCGTCCTTTTATCCTTTTGTGCACTGCTTTGTGAACTAACTCCCTTTAATTGTTTTATTTAAGGCATTATTACTACAGTTATTATTTTATTAAAAATATGTTGTTTTTTTTTCTTTTTAACACACCTTAGATGTGCGTCGGAGAACCATCTACGAGTATCATAGAATAAACATCCCAAAGTCCAAAATCTGCAGCTCCACCGCAGTGGAACTGCTCCCCTTCCCAAGTAAGTAACATTCATGTGGTATTTTCTGGTTTAAAGCTTTTCTTGCATTTTATACGTCTCTGTTGTATCTTCATTCTCAGCATGTCTGCAGTTCTCCAGCTGCGGCCCATGTGTCACCTCTCAGATTGGGTTTGACTGCAGCTGGTGCAGTCGACTACAGAGGTAACTTGGGGAAAAAAAAAATCAAAGAGAACTGAAAAGGGAAAATATGCATCCCTCAGATATATTTTAATATAATTTTTAAAACATATGTTTCTACCAGTAGATCTTGGAGACATATTTAGCTGAAGGAATTCACAACATGAATGATATTTCGTGTTCAAGAATCACCCATATAAAGGAAGAGTAAAAAAAGATTTGCTGGGCTTCCAACATTTTTTTTGGACTTGTTACTCCAAAACTGTCTAATTCAGGCTCCAAAAGTGTAAACAGATAATTACTAATATCCTACAAAATATATTGCTGTGAATGACATTTTGTGTTTCCAGCCACATAACAGAGCCACTGCTTCCTTCCTCAGATGCTCCAGTGGCTTTGACAGAAATCGTCAGGAGTGGGTTGACCTCGGCTGCCTAGAGGAGGTTCTTCGCATTTTTGCCTTTTAGTTAGTAACAGAAAATTGATCTCAGTCGGACCTTAGCATTATTTATTCCCCAGTTTAATCGCAGCGGCTCTGTGTTGTTAAAGAGGCGGGATCCACGATGTCTCCCAATGACGAACGTCAAAAATGGAACATCACGGCTCGTGTCGTTTCCTTCTACATCCACTTCAAAGCAGCAGAGGACCTTAAACATGACGCCCACCCCCGCGTGCAAGACATCCACCACCAATGAGCTTTTATCACACAGCAGATCTGGCAGCAGGGACAAAACAAGTGAACAGCTACCAGCCAACACATCTGCAAATGGTAAACTTCAAATATTTCTTGAAAATATCATCCAAATCTCTGAAAATACTGAACAGTTTAAATCATTTTGCAGTTTTCATCTAAACATGGGAATTTTCTGCACCTTTATCATCAGGGATAGCTACACACTGACCCCTGTGTGAATATGGCTTTTATTTACATTTTTTAAAGAGTGCACAGAATGTTTCGGCTGACTTGGTGTTGCTGCAGCTACGTTCTTGACGAATCTCAGACGTCTTATTGAAAGCCCGGCACAGAACATTTTTCATCTTCCCACATTTGTATAACATGGTACGGTTTTAGATGTACCTGATAGGATATTTTTATGTGATAACATTAAACTTTGTAAAAAAAAAACAAACAAACATTTAATTCATAAGCAATTTGAATGTCTTCTCCACAGATGGAAATATTGAGAGGATAGAGGAGAGCGAGAAAGCGATGCCAGGAGGCCTCCTGGCAGGCGTCGTCATAGCGATGACAATACTGCTGGCAGCTGTTCTCACATCGATCTACATGTACAGCCACCCCACCTCCAGCGCCAGTGTTTTCTTCATGGAGGTCAGTGTGGCTCCCCAAAAATGTTTTTGTCATTAAGCACCAAAATCTTAAAAAAAAAAATTACAAAATTTATTTCGACAGTAATGTCTTTTACTTCGTCTGATAAGGTCGAGAATATTCCAGTTTAGTTCTCAAGCATCAAACCACAATATTACTTTAGTAATAATGCTTTTTGTTCAACGTCAGGCTGAACAAAAGTGTTTTTATGTATCACTTCCTCTAGTGCTATCAAAAAATGCTTTTTAAAAAAATAACAAATCAAATCACCTCCAACTCAATCAGTTTTTTTTAATAGTCTACCATCATTTTAAACAGAGACGTCCAACCCACTGGCCAATCCTGAAGTTCAGACGGGGCTCCGGTCGGCCATCCTACGCTGAAGTGGAAACTCCTGGTCACGACAGAGACGGTTCTGTCATCATCGACCTCAAACAATCTTTTGTCATTTCAGACAGAAGAGAGAGCGAGCAGAAAGAAGGGTTTATAGTTCCCGATCAAAGAGAATGCTTTCTTGCCTCAGAAAGCTCCTGACCAAAGCTGTACGTTTTTTTTGTTTGTTTTTTTTTTGGGCTTCAGGGCAGAGCTGGTTCTCTGCGTAACATCTGTTTTGTCTTACGGATAACGACGAGTTCACTTTAGGAACAAAGAGCAGAAACAAAACACGAAACCTCAGTGAGGATATTTCAACAGTGCATCGGCATTGTGAACCGACGAGTCTTATGTAAAAGGAAGAAACTCTTGGTTTTATCCTTCTGTCGCTTTCAGCCCAGAGAGCAGGAGGTGATCCTGCTTTTCCCTCAAAGATGCCCCTTATTTTCCTTTTACACCTACTTCACAGAGAGGAATGTTGTGTTTGAGTGTCACTTCCTGATCTCAAAAACACAAACATTCCTTCCCATGACACCCACCCACCTCTGACGGGCAATGTTCCTTCCAGCCCTGTTTACGTCGGAGCACAGCATTCCCAGACGGCAGCAGGTGTGCGCAGCTTTTCAATTTTATTACTATTTTGAGCTTAAAAGACAGAAAACAGTTACTGATTTACAATGCTGTACAAAATGTGCACTAGAACATACACAACAGGGGAATAATACTCAAAGATTACACACAATTATTTTAATTTCAAATGTAAGAGTTTTACAGGTTGTATAACATGCTACACTTGCTTTTATGTTTGCGTAATTTATAATTGTTTACATGCTGTTTGTAGAGTTTTGTTTAGAAGCTGCTTCTACGGTTAGCCTTTATTGATTTCACATTATGTATATTAAGTGTCATAAAAGGATATCTGTGAGCAACAGATTTAAAATAAAGTTTTAATGGTGCTGAAACAAAGATATTTTACATATCAGTGTGCTTATTTTCTTGTCTTTGTGCTCTTCCTTTAATCAGATGGTCGGTGTCTATTGACTTCCCAAAATATTTGATCGGTGACCTGAATATGCAATTATTTTATCTGCTGTGTACGTATAAAATATAAACATCAATAATTTACTCTATTTTTGTTGGTAAGACAATATGCAGAGTGATCATGGAATGGGCATACATTTTTGCCCAAAATGTTTAACCGTCCCTCTGTCTTAATAGATGGAGTCAGTTACACTCTGTGGACAGTCTGGCGGGGTTGCACTGACCCCGTGTGCGCTTTTACGAGGCTTTTTTTGTGTGCTTTTGTCTTAAATTCTCAGATGATTCAATGTACAAAGCTTGATGTAAAGACAGAATATGTGTCCATAATAGTGTTCCACATTGCTTGAGGTGTGTGTAGTTTAAGGCAGCTGGTCAGACTGGTCAGTTGGATGATGGGGTAAAGGCACTGCTGTCAAAGAAGTCCTGCAGAGACTTGATGCTTTAGGCTTCCTTGTCTTCTAAAAAGAGGAAGAGACAAAACCATCTGAACGATGAGACACCAGTTAGTCTCTAATTTCAGTCAAACAGGAAAATCTTGGACTTCATGTTTAAATGACGCACAAGTACCAAAAACACTGTAGCACTGTTTTTCCCTGCAAATAAAATAAAGTGATTCAATTACATTCTATTTTGTGTGCGATATTTTTAGTGACACCCAAATCCAGAACCAAAACAATATTTAAAATCATTTTTTTATCTATTATTTTCCTTGCATAACAGTTAAATTAAATCGATGACCAACAAAGACTGGAATTATTTTAACACTTGTGAAACTTAAAAAAAGAAAATTACAAATTGCAAATGCGAGCCACGGTTTTATTTAGTTTGTACTTGGTTCTCTCTAAGCAACATTATTTCAAAGAGTACAGTTGCTGGCGTAATTTCTGCACACCAATAATGCTCTGACGCTTAAAAATACTACCAGTATGGACGTAGACATTATGTCACATTATTGTAGTAAAAATTTGAAGTTTTCCTGTAATCCTTAAAGTTTGAGTGATATTTATCACTCATGAGTCACACATACCACCTAATTATTTATTTTGGTTAAAACTACCTACATCATCAGTGAACTGAAATAATGTAAATCACAATGTGATGAATTCACTAAGATTAATGCAAATAAAAAGTTACCTTTCACTGGTGGAGCAGGTAGTCTTCTTCTCAGATGTCTTGAAGAGTCCAGAGTAACAGACTGCGACAACGTACATGAGCATAAAACTGTTTTAGCTCACGGCTCTGGAATTTACACTTTTCTGTGTTCTGACGACAAGAACCTTTTCTGTGGTCGCCCTGGTCTTCGTGAAGCGACTCTGGGTGTCCACATTGAGGCCGGCGCTCTTCAGAGCAGCGATTCTCGCAGAAATGTCGGATATCTAAATCATAAACAAGAAAAGTGACTGGCCGATCCAGGTGCGTTGAGCCACTTTAAGAGGCATATTTCCATAAATGTCCCAGAATCTACGTGGCTGTAGGATGCATGCCAAGCATTCCTCCGTTTTCTTTTTGTGAAGCTCACCTGCAGCTCGGACTGCTGAACCTTGGCGGCGGCGGCTGCCACCTGCTCCTCCAGGAAAGACAGCTCCAGGTCGGATGTGGAGCTGCAGATCTCCCTGGCGCACTCCTCCAGGTCGCTCAGCTCTGTCTCCAGGCTGAACACAGAACCAGCTGCCACGTAGACCTGCACCAGAACCAGGCCACACAAATCCCAGCTCATAATGTTTATATTTTCAAAATTACTCAGACACCTTATAACTTTACTGTTTCATTGATTTGACAAAATGTTCTTCAAGTAATTATAGATAAAGACAAATATTTTATATTTAGTTCACATTTTAGACATCACTTTTCAGTTTTGAGCTTCATTCAGACTTAATTCAAAGAACTGTACAACAAATTAAAAAAAAAACTGTTTTGCTGTATGTTTCTCTCAAGGAGGTAAGTTTTTATTTTTGAATCCTATGAAAACCTCACTGTGCATGTTCACAGTAGGTTCTATATTTTGAATAATCTCATATTTATCATGTAATTATTATTTTTAGATTTTAAATGTTCTAAGGTTTGACTTCATAGTTTTCACTTGATTAGTAATGAAGAAAGATAAACCAGGTAAATCATTTTATTTTCTCCTAAATTATTATTTTAGTGGATAATATCTGACATTTTTGCCCAATTTATATCTGTCATTTTCATTGTTGGCCTTAAAAAACCCCCCAGATATTTAAGCTCCTGATTCACCACAAAAATTAATTTTAGCTCAAACTGGTGAGTTGAATCAATATTTGCAACTATCAGATTACGCTGCACACTGCTGCAGAAATAGGAAGTATAAAAATATGACATGTGGTAAAACCATGAGCTGGACTTTACATTTTCCTCTAGTTTCCAAAACTGTTGGTCCAGCTTCTTGGGGTCTGTGTTTGGGGGCAGTGAGATTGTAGAGACCCGGGTTTTGTCTTGTCCCTCCACTCCCTGGAGCAGCTCCTCGGTCGCATTCAGCACCTTCAGCACCTCGGTGGTGATGCTGCGTAAAGATGCTGCAGAGTATCGCTACGGAGCAAAAACCAAGACAGGTCATTTTAACCCATAAATGTAGGAGAAACGGTCTGAATTTAACAGCTGAAGAAATACTCAACAGATTTTTTTATTTATTTTTTTTCCATTTTCTCCAGGGTTGCACAAAATAAGTAAAAGCCAAAGAAACCACTGAGATGTAGAACGCCACTAAAATCTAGACAGTATTTTATTAATCGTAGCACATATCAATACTTTTTCAACGTTCGTAGTGAATTCACTCAGATATCCCTCTTAGTAAAGATCACTGCTAATTTCTGAATTAAAAGGTTATAGCCAGAATAAAATATTAACTCAGTCATGATTTTTTTTAATTTCTCTCCTGCATGGTGTAATGTCAGTTTCCCTCTTTATAATACAGCGGTTGCTCACAGCAAAAAGACAAAACATTTTTGCCAGCTCAAAATCAAAAGTTGTAAGTAATTAAAATGCTAATTCTGATTAGTGCAACATTACTTCTCTCGAATGCATTCATCATGCTAGTTTTTGGGGAGTTGGCAATTAATCTGTTGTGAGAAAGTGTAAAATACGTGACTGTTTAAAGATATTCTTTACCGAATATAAATTAATTCACAATGAGATTGGGCCTCTAATCTTTGCAGTAGGTAACAAATCGGTAATACTTCACAAGAAGGTCAAACCTCTGTGGATTTGCAACAAAAACACAAACTAAAATTTTGAACCTATCGCAATAAATAAACCTTGATTCGTTACAACAAGCTAAAATGTTTTTATCGAAAATAAGAAATACATATTTGAGAGGAAAGTGAATTTTCTAGTTTCATAATACGTTCAGATTTTAATATCCTACGGGTTCGCGTTATATTCAAACAACTCTCACCTGCTCCAGCACAGATGACATTAGCTGTATAGTTTTGTAAAGCTCCATGTCACTACCCTACAGTTAAGATAAAGCAAAGGCACAGAGATAATAAGACAGAACAAAAAGAGGGAAGAAGAGAAAGAAGTTAGCTGAATTGAAAAGAAAGTGTGAGGCAAAGCAAATAAAACCTCTGCTGAGCGTCATTCAAATTACTGTAAAATGATTCTGGCTTATTTTAAAGCAGAGGAACAGCTGGAAGAGTAACTCAGTCATCAGTTCAAAATCTACGGTCGGATGGATTAGATGGTGAGATGCAATTCAGCATGCTGCAATGAAAATTAAAGCTATTTTATTAAACACATTAAGTGGAAGTTAATGAAATGTTTTCCTCAGTAAAGGAAAATAGAAAAAATCAAACATTCAACTCACTGATTAATTTTCTCCTGAGCCTGCATCTGACATTAAAACCTTTATAAACAAAGACAATAACTGCAAAAGATTCTGCATCCTAAGATGTATTATTTTATTTGTTAAACCTGCTTGAAACAGCTCTTGTACTCACGTTCTGGATCTCCTCCGGTGAGAGGAACTCCCCTAGATGAGTGCAGGAGCTGCACTGTTCCATGTTTTCAGTTTTCTGCTCTTCCTCGACTCGTCCGTCTCCGTCTTTCTGCTCACAGTTTGGGTTAACTCTGTGCATCTCTGCTGCTTCCGACTCGGCTGTGTTTCTTCTTCGTCCGTCCTGGTTCTCACTTTTCTCTTCACTCTTTGGACTCGTCAGTTCTGTGATGGTCGTCGTATCCCTACAGTTTTCTTCATGAATATTTTCATCTCTACCTGTACTGTTTCCTTCCTGTTTTTTGTCGGATATCTCCTCGTCCGTTTCCTCACCAATGCGTGTTGTTATCACTGACCTCTCGTGTGTTTCCTCTGTGGCATCCTTCCTCTCGCTCACTCCGGTCTCTCCTTTGACGTAGTCGCTCTCTGGTTTTCTGTGTTTGGTTTGTCCGGTTTTGTCCATCATTTCTGCCTGCATGTCCTCCAGAGTCATCATCAGCATGCTGCTGATTATTCTGTCAAATTCTGCTTCGTCTTCGTCACTCTTTGAGTCTGTTTCGAACTTCCGCTCACTCTCTTGGCTTCCTTTTAGAAACTCTTGTTCAACCTTTTCTTCTGTGCCCTTTGAAGGTGGCTCTTTCTCTTCCTCAGCTTTTGCTTCCTGTAGCAACTCCGTCTGCAGTTCTGTTTTCAAATTGATCTCTTTCCTTTCAGCTGGCTCTTTAAAGAGCTCCATGTATTTGTCATATAATTGCCTCATTCCCACTGTTTCTTCCTCTGCCCCTTGCTTGTCTTTCTGTACGCCGGTTGCGTCATCTTCAACCTTTCTCTGACACTTTCTTCTCTCACCCCTCTCTTGCTCCCTTTCTTCAGATTCATCTGTCAAATTAAACATCTCCATGTCTATGTCTCCAATTGATTCCTCTCCCTCCCAAAGCTCCCTCATGTCCCTGCTGCCCCCGTTTTCCTC